ATCCGCACCGAGCCAGCCACAGGCCAGATCAGCTGCAACCGCGGGGCCAGAAACACGCACACGTCTACCTACAGCAATGGGCACACGCGGCTCCTAGCAGGGGGAGCTCAGCTGTAGGCAAGCACAGACCCACAAGCCTTGTCAGGGAAGACAGAGGCGTCCAGCTATGTAGACACACGCGGCCGGATCTTCAGAGGAGCTGAGTAGTTTTAGTTTGCATTAGATTGGTTTGGAATGACAGGTGCTCAGCACCCCTGAGCATGCAGATCAGATCACATGCATGGCCCAGTACAGCAGGGGCTGCATACTTAAGCGTGCATATACATGGCTGTACCCATCACAGGTATATGCAGTCTCGTCTGTGAGCTTGCAAACGTAATTTGCCACACAGACGTGTAGCTCCACAATGCAAACCAATCTTAATGTTTGATTGGCAGGGCAAGCCATACAAGTATAGACAGTCCTTAGCCAGAGTACTAACATAGATGCGCAGAAGGACAAGCAATGTCCCTTGCACTCAGGAGCAGTCAAAGCCCAACAGTTTTCCTTAGAAAAACAGAGTTGATGCTGCGTCCTTATTCCCACAAGTGGTGAAATTAGGGGTGCAGGTTATGTTGCTGCACCCCCTTTCCTCCCACCTTGATGTGGTTTCCATCACGTACAAGTTTTACCATTTGGTTCGCTGATTCTCAGTACCCCTTCTATAAAAATTGTTCCAGCACCCTTGTGTATTTCCCGTAATGATTACTCTCAAATACCCTGAAGGGCAAACAAGCCACCTGTGACTTGCCTCTACAGGGGAGGGAAACCAAGACAATTCACCCTCCTGTCTTCCACGGCTGTCCCTATGGACATGCACACCACACAACTCTATAGGGCACCACAACATTTGGGGCACCCCAAAATCCCTTGGCTGGCCGGTGGGTCAGTACCAGCTTCTGCTGCCACCACCTAGACCCAGCCTGCCCACCCTGCAAGCTGTGCCCAGCCATCACTCACCAGGCGGTGGTGTGTGGCATGAGGCTGCAGACCAGAGGACTCAGAAGGAGCAGTGGCAACTGTGCCACCAGCCAGAGAAAAGAGGTGCTGTCCCCTTCTTTAGGAAAGGGCTGCTTCTCTCTGGCCAGAGGCCTGGCTGCCCCCGTCCTGAGGCTGCAGCTATGCCTCCCTGTCTTGCAGTCCTCCTGCACCCACCCCTCTCCGAGGTCTAGAGGATGGGCTGCTTAGGGTACCAGCATTGCTCCCTTCCAAGATGTCTATGTCCTGACCCAGGCCAGGACTGGCCAAAGGTCAGCTCCTCCCCCCAACACAAAACTACACAGACCAAACTACACCTCCTGGCCCTCCCTTTTTCAACAGAAAAGCTGCCCCACTGAGACCACGGGTGGGGGGCTTATTGGTGGCCTGTAGCTGCCCAGTGGGACCAGCAGCCTCCACCAGAGCAGGGGTAGTTCTAGGCTTAAGGCCATTCGGGGCAAGGCTAAGCTGGGATACGTGGGCATCTTCCCCTCCCGGCTGGGAGATGCCTTCCCCTCTTCTTCCATAGCTCCCTGCGCCCCGTTCTTTACCTCGCTGCGCGCCCTCTAGGAACGGCCCCGCGCTCCGGCGCCCATCCCTCGGGCCGGCCGTCCAGGAGACACCCGCACGTGGTCCCGGCGCCGCGCTTTGCCGCTCGCCCGCTGCCGGCCGGGTTAAAGCTCCTCGGGAAGATCTGGTGTAAACAAGCTGCCCACATGCTCAGCCCCTTCCCGCGCATTGGCTGGCCGGCCGCCCTTTAAT